ATGCTGGGGATTGAACCTGGAATCAGCTGCATACAAGGCAAGTGCCTTCCCACTTTACTATCTTTCCAGTCCATAATCCCTCAGTTTATGCTTTTAGTGTCATAAAATTCCTTTCTCATACTTAGAACATAAAAACATTACATATTTCTTCTAAAGTTTTGTTTCCATAATTCTAGAAACTAGAAGCTATTTTCAGTAAGAGATCAAAATCTCACTATTTTATATGTATATAGCAAATTCTCTCATTTTACAAGCACTAATTTTTCTTTTGTCACCTACCAATTTTTCATACATGCACAGGTCTTTTTTCTTATTCTATTTCTTTTTTTTTTTTGCCCTTTTTTTTTTTTTTTGCTTTTTGGGTCACACCCGGCAATGCACAGGGGTTACTCCTGGCTCTTCAACCAGGAATTACCCCTGGCGGTGCTCAGGGGACCATATGGGATGCTGGGAATCGAACCTGGGTTGGTTGCGTGCAAGGCAAACGCCCTACCCGCTGTGCTATTGCTCCAGCCCCTTCTTTATTCTATTTCACCGGCCACTTAAGCTGTCTACTACATTTGTTATCCCAAAGGGTAAGCACACCTGTCCTCAAAATTAGATAAGATATTTTTGCCACTCTGCTCTCCAACATGAACTTTAAAATCAAGTTAAGGGACCAGAGAGAAGATACAGAGAGCAAGGTGCTTGCCTTGTGCACTGCTAATCCCAATCTGATTCCTGAGCACTGAATAAGAAGTAAGCCCTGAGCATTGCTGGGTATGACTCAAAAAGCAAAATCAAGTTTTAAAAATTTATCTGCTGGAATTTTTATTCAATTATAGACTGTCACTGTCACTGTCCTCCCATTGTTCATCGATTTGCTCAAGCGGGCACAGTAACGTCTCCATCGTGAGACTTTGTTGTTACCGTGTTTGGCATACTGAATACGTCATGGGTAGATTGCCAGGCTCTGCCACGCGGGAGAGATACTCTCGGCAGCTTGCCGGGCTCTCCGAGAGGGGCGGAGGAATCGAACTCGGGTCGGCCATGTTGGCTGCGTGTAAGGCAAATGCCCTACCCGCTTTGCTATCGCTCCAGTCCAATTATAGACTAGTATGAGGAAAATTAATTTCTTTATAATATTGATTTTCTCCTCCAGAGATGTGATTAGTAACTAGTCTGTCTCTGTGGGCAAGTGGATGCTTTGGTCCACTTGGCTAGTAACTAACTGGGATCAAATTTCAAATTGTTGGCTGGGGCTGCAGAGATAGTACAGAGGCTGACACTTGCTCTGCAGAGAGTCAACCCAAGTTTGACCCGTGGCACTGCAAATGATCCCCCGAGCACTTCCAGGGGTGATGTCTGAACACAGAGTCAAGAGTGAGCCCTACTCATAGCGAGGTGTGGTTTGGCCTCCCTGACAAAATAAATAAAAATTGTTGTTTATGTCTTTTTAAACCAGGGACCTCCTTAGAGGTGCTTGGTTCAACTGTGATGTAGTGCCGGGGGTCACCAGACTACACTTCTAGTGCTCGGGGTGCCAAACTGTGCAGGGGATCAAACTTGAGGCTTTAAGCACACAAAGCACAAAGTCTGTACTCTCTCCTTCTGAGGTACCTCCCAAAGCCTGTCTTGGTCCATTTATCTTGTAAACTACCATACATTTGAAAATATTTCTACTTATTATTTTCTATTTCTATGCTTTTTAATTTACTCTTTTAAGCTTTCTTCTGCTGAATTGATTGAATTTTCAATATACTTTCCACCACTATCCTTCCTCCTATTTTGAAAAACATAAATTGTATTATTGTATAACCTTTCATTTTCTCATCATATGCAGCACACATCATTCCAAAAGCATAAATTTACATGATTTTTCTACCTTCCTGATTATAACACAGATCTTACCATACTATGTTTTCCTTTGGACAAAACTCACCATACTACAACCTCTTCGCTGTAACTGCCTCAAGTTACATCGTTTGGGGCTGGAGTAGTAGTATACCATGTAGAATACTTGCCTTGCACATGGCCGACCCAGGTTTGTCCCTGGCACCCCAAATGGTCCCCCAAACCCACCAGAAGTGATTTCTGAGTGCAGAGCCAGAAGTGAGCCCTGAACACTACTCAGGTGTACTCCGCGTTTCCCAATACTTAAAGGTATACTGTCCAACTATTCACCACATGCAGACATGTGGCTTTCGAAATGTGGCTTGTCTAAACTGAGATGCACTCTTCATGTAAAAAATGTAGTGAATTCTGATGACTGGGAATGGAAAAAAAAAAGATTAAAAACTATACTTAATTATATACTGAAAGAATATTTTAGCATGCTGTATTTAATGCATTACTGAAAAATTTCCGTTTTTCTTTTAACATGAACATAAAAAAATTAAACTATATGTAGCTATCATTACAACTCTGAAAAAGATTTAGTTTTAAATTTGTTGGGGGGGGGGGGGGAAGCCACATCCAGCAGAGCTTAGGGCTTAGTCCTGGCTCTGAGTTCAGGGATCACTCCTGAGTGTAAGCTGACTTCTAACTTCAGTGACTTTATCTTTGATATTCAAGAGTTCACCACTACGTATATAAATTTATCTTTATATAGTTATTAGACATTGAGTTTACTTTTGATTTAAGGAGTCAAATTCTTTAATGCTAAGTAGTTTCAATGTCTTCAAAAATTAGTTCTGTAACCTCTGCATTTTCTTTTTGTGTAATTCTTATTATATGTACACTGGATCACTCAAATAGTCTGGTCAGTCTTTTACCTATCCTTTCAGTTTTTCCTTTTTCTATGTTCTGGGTGAAATTTTTAGTATTCTTTTCTAATCTACTAATTCTCAGCAATGTAAAGGGTGGACTATACTACATATTGTTTTTTAAGTGATAAAAATTCAAATTGGCTCTTTCCAGCATTGTTTTAGCTCTTTTATTTCATAATGTTAAACTCTCTTTAAGTGAAAATTAACCCTTATTTCTTTAAGCATCCTAAAAATGCTTTAGTTTCACCCACTCGATGGAATACTATGCAGCCGTTAAAAGATTAAGATCACTCAAAGAATAATAATATGGAATGATCTTTAACTACGTTATTATACTATGAAAAAAGTCACAGTATGTAACAGTATATGTAGAATACTACCATTTATATAAAAGCATGTGTATGTGCATGAGTATCTGTCTGTGTATGCATAAACTATCTCAGAAAGGATAGCAAGAAATTGGTAATAGTGGTTGCCTCTGGGGAGGGGTACTGGGTGGCTAGGGGACAGAGGTGGGAGACAGACTTACTTTTCACTGTTTACCCTTTTGTACCTTTGAATTTTGTACCACGTGCATGTATTACCTAGTCAAAAAAAAATAAATAAAAATTTATTGTTTTAAGTCTTTGTCGGACTACTCCATAAAATTAATTTCATCCAGAGAAAATGCCTATTATAACTGATTTGGTTATGATATGAGTATTAGATGTCTTCATCAGTTTTATAACTTTGGTTATAGGTTCATTTTAAGATTGATTTTCTCTCTTTTCCTTTTTAAACAATTTTGTAGTTGTTTCACCTGGATTTCTGGGTCCCTAATTCACAACTAAGCGATATAAATGATGTAACTGAACCATAGAATGACATAACAGACTTCTAATTTCATGATGATACTGGTGCTATCATATTTATACATTCAACCACTAACTTAAGTGACTAATTTTACGTCATGGTCATGAGGCTGTATATTATCAACTAAATCTTTGGGCATCTGGTAATACTTTTTTCTTATGTCAGCTCTTCACATATTCCAACCAAAACCCCTGTGGCATAGAGCTGTTTTGGCTGATTCCTGTCTCATAGGAAGCACTTTAGCACGTATGAACCTGACAGGAGCGTCAGTGCTAGACTGAAAAAGCTTGTAATTTGCACTCTGTGGCTTTGTGCAAAGGCTTTGTGCAAAAAGACCAACAGAGTGTAAATAGTTTTGTGCATGTGCCCCATTTCTGGTCCGCAAAAACTTTTATGTTGTTTGAGAGCCTGACTATGTCTTTTATGCCATGTAATCTATTGTTTTATGTATCTAATACATAGGATCATAGCAGACTTAGTGATCACCTCGATTAGAACAAATGTCCAAAGCTGCTTTAGAACATTGAAAGTAGTAAATAGAAAATAAAATCTTATTAAACTTTAGAAAATAAAAAATTAACTCCTAACCCATCCAGCCCATATTCCATCTGTTGTTAGCACTTTAAAACGTCCTTCCAGTGCTTTTTCTCTAAATAATTTGTATTTTTGGGGGGTGGTGGTGGTGGGCGCAATATCCATTGGTGTTCTGGCTCTGTGTTCAGGGATCCCTCCTGGCAGGCTCAGGGGAATTTTATGAGGTTCCAGGAATCAAAGTGAAGTTGGCCACATGCAAGGCAAGTACCCTGCCCACTGTACTATCTCTCCAGCCGTATCTGTATAATTTTTTTTAATGATTTGGACCCAGTATTATCTCAAAAGTTTGTCTATGTTGATATGTAGTCTCTATTGCCATCATTTTAATGACTGCATATTAATCCAACTAGATTTCAATGTTATTCTTATTTTGTTGAGAATTTAAGGGGCTTCCAACGATGGTATAAAAGAAATTCTCTCTGCATATGTGTTTGTGTTTTTTCCCTCAGTAGTTTGGATTTAGGAAGTAGTGGTGAGAAATGGTTAGCCAAGGGACTGCCACCTGTTATTTAGTAAAATCCATAGCTATTTAACTCAAAGGCATAATACATGACTAAGATTCATTCACAGTGATGACCCTGGCATACAAAGAGAAAAGGCATAATCATATGGAAGTGAAAATGTATTTCAGAAAAATTCTTATCAAAATAGTTAACAGCAAGCTTTGTTATTAAAGGGATACAAGGAGTAAGTCACAAAACACAAATGTCTATCACTGCTGGACCAAACATTACATATTATCACTAACTTAAAAACCAGTATTTCTGGCTATACTAATAAGGTTCACTTTTCCATAATAATACTAACCTGATATTATTAACACAGTCCTCATGAGCTTCAGAAAGTGTTTTTATGTGCTTTGAAGATATAGGGTCAAAAAGCAGAACCTCAGTCTGTTCACAAGCAACTGTCAGCACTGACCTGAAAGCAAGAAAAACATTTCTCTGGTTTAGTTCTCTAGCATTCTCTGGTTACCAATATACATTTATTTATAATTACATAAGCTACTCAAGCGAGATACTCTCGGTAGCTTGCCGGGCTCTCCGAGAGGGGCGGAGGAATCGAACTCGGGGGCTGGAGTGATAGCACAGCGGGTAGGGCGTTCGCCTTACAAGCAGCCAACATGGCCGACCCGAGTTCGATTCCTCCGCCCCTCTCGGAGAGCCCGGCAAGCTCCCCGTGACGTATTCGATATGCCAGACACAGTAACAACAAAGTCTCCAATGGAGACGTTACTGGGCCCGCTCGAGCAAATCGACGATCAACGGGAGGGCCTTTACCTTACCTTTTACCTTACATAAGCTACAAGGGCTGGAGCGATAGCACAGCAGTAAGTCGTTTGCCTTGCACGCAGCCAACATGGCCGACCCAAGTTCGATTCCTCTGCCCCTCTCGGAGAGCCCGGCAAGCTACCGAGAGTATCTTGCCCGCATGGCAGAGCCTGGCAAGCTCCCCGTGACGTATTCGATATGCCAAACACAGTAACAATAAGTCTCCAATGGAGACATTACTGGGCCCGCTCAAGCAAATCGATGAACAACGGGAGGACAGTGACAAGTGAGTAATTTCTTTCTGCTCTTTTTTGTATGTTAGTACCAAATGAGAGATCAACACTATCATCAGCAATAGCAGGAAAGAGTGCTCTTCATTTGTATGGTTCTGGAGTGTAAATGATGCTTGGAGAGTTCTCTAAACCATAACAACTTTAAAAAATGCAGACTTTTTTGGGGGTGGCATTTGGTTTTGGGCCACACCTGGCAGCGCTCAGGACTTACTCCTGGCTTTGCTCAGGGACTGTATGGGATGCCTGGGACTGAATCCAGGTCAGCCACATGCAAGGCAAACACCCTACCAGCTGTACTACCACTCAGGCCCCCAAATGTATATACCTTTGACAGCAATTTTTATAAGAACTTAATCTGGAGAAATAAACACTATAAAGATTTTTTAAAAAGCACTGCAGAAAAATGTGTAGATATGCAAATTCGAAAAAACAAAGAATAAAATCATGTACTTCTCTATCAATGTCTATAAAAAGGTTTAGCAATGTACCCTACTACATCCGTCAACTACTATCAAATATTTTTCTTTACTTTTTTTTCAGTTTTATTTCTTTGTGTGTGTGTGTGTGTATGTGAGGATCAAACCCAAAGCCTTAAAAATGTAAGGCAAGTGCTTTATCATTGAGCTATATGCTCTGGGACCCTTTCTTCTGCCTCTCCTTACTATACTTTATACCCCTTTTAGAAGTCTCATTTGATTTCAGAAAATCTATTCTCTTATTTTATTTTGATTAAGTGTTAAGATTTGTGCAGGCACTGCTCTTTTAACTTCAGATCAATCAGAAGAAATCCTAAGCCTCTGAAACCGTAGACCTAATGAACATACAGTTTGAAGAATAAGCAGAATATTATATACTTAAAACTGCAGTAAGAGTAAACTTTAAACTTTTTTAATAAAGTGGGGAGAAGAGAAAACCACCTTCTAAACTGCTCTTTAATAATCAAACTAATTAGAACTGTTCTTTAAAAGGTATCACCCTAAACCTGGGATAGCTGAACTTCAAAACTTTATCTTAGGAACCTTGGTGCTAGTAATTATGAGTATAAATATATGTAATTTTAAAAGATCTATATAATGTACTCTTCTATATAAAACAGCCATTCCTTTAAAAAATTTTAGTTTCTGGATCATACCTGGCAGTGCTCAGGGCTTACTCCTGGCTCTGCACTCGGAGGGTTCAGGAGGCCGTAACAGGATGCTGGGGATCAAACCTGGGTCAGCCATGTCCTACCCGCTGCACTATTGTTCTGGGTCCTGACTCCTCTTTTTTAAAATTTCAGCTTAAGCACGGCAAGCTCCCTGTGATGTATTCAATATGCCAAAACAGTAACAACAAGTCTCACAACTTGTTGTGAGATGTTACTGGTGCCCACTCAAGCAATCGATGAATAACAGGAGGACAGTGCTATAGTGCATCTTTTTTTTTCCTTTTTGGGTCACACCTGGCGACGCACAGGGTTTACTCCTGGTTCTGCACTCAGGAATTACCCCTGGCCGTGCTCAGGGGACCATATGGGATGCTGGGAATCGAACCCAGGTCGGCTGCGTGCAAGGCAAACGCTCTACCCACTGTGCTACTGCTCCAGCCCCAACTACAGTGCATCTTAAGCACCGTGATCTACAGTACCGTTACCTGTAGGATTTCATGCATATTCCCACAGATTCTCCAATAGGGTCCTGTTCCTTCCACCACCATTTCAACGCGTGGCTCCAGCTCGCCCTGCCCAACTCGCATAAGTTTCCAAGTGAAGACCAGTCTGGGTTCAATTCTGGCACCACATAGTCCCTTGAGCATCACCAATGTGTTCTGGGAGGCTCCCATCACTGCCTGAGGTGGTCCGGGTACCCCTGGCACTGCAGGGTGCGAGCAGCATCTCATCCTTTAGCCCTGGTACTGCACTGATGGCCGGGATGGACAAGATTCACTCCTGGGGGCCCCAACCCCCTGAGCATTGTTTTCCCCTGTCCAAACTAAAAGAACCCCACAAACTTTATACAAGGGCGCTGGATGCAGTCAGTGTTAGAACACTTGGTATAAGGTATGAGGCCTGGGTTCTATCCCAGCACCATAACAAGGGAAAAAAAAGTTTTAATAGAAGAGCAGAGTATGCATCTTTTGCACAGGATTGCTTTATAAGATTTATCACCATTGGGGCTGGAGAGATAGTACAGCCGGTAGGGCGTTTGCCTTGCACACAGCCGACCCAGGTTTGATTCCTGGCATCCCTTATGGTCCCCTGAGCACCGCCAGGAGTAATTCCTGAGTGCAGAGCCAGGAGGAACCCCTGTGCATCGCCAGGAGTAATTCCTGAGTGCAGAACCAGGAGAAACTCCTGAGCATCACTGGGTATGACCCAAAAAGAAAAAAAAAAAGATGTATCGCTGTTGTTAGAGATCTTGTATTTTTAAATTTATTTTAAAATAAACTGTTATACCACTGTACAGATATTGCTACTTTATGTTCCACTACGTGTGGGTATTTGTCTTTTCATTATGCTTTAAATTCTTCTACATGTATCCCAATGCACTAATACATACATTTCTGTTGGATATATATTAGGAGTGAAATTGCTAAATCCTGGACTATGAGTTTGATCATTTAGTAGTGACAAACTCTTGTACAGAGTGGTGAGTTTTGATCTTTATTAGGTTTAATTTGCTGTTCCAAATTGAAATAGATGTTTACTGACTTTCAGTGTTAGATTTTTTTTTTTTTTTTTTTTTTTTTGCTTTTTGGGTCACACCTGGCGATGCTCAGGAGTTACTCCTGGCTTTGCACTAAGGAATCACTCCTGGCAGTGTTCAGGAGACCATATAGATGCTGGGAATCGAACCCGGGTTGGCTGCGTGCGAGGCAAACGCACTACCTGCTGTGCTATTACTCCAGCCCCTCAGTCTTTAAGATTTCTAATACATGCATTTATGGCGATAAATTTTTCTCCACACCAGGTTTTAGCTGCAATCACACAAAATTTTTATAGTATTTTTAATCATTCAGTTTAAAATATATCATACTGGGGCTGGAGTGATAGCACAGCGGGTAGGGTGTTTGCCTTGCATGCAGCCAACATGGCTGACCCAGGTTCGATTCCCAGCATCTCATATGGTCCCCCGAGCACCGCCACAAGTAATTCCTGAGTGCATGAGCCAGGAGTAACCCCTGAACATCACCGGGTGTGACCCAAAAAGCAAAATATATATATATATATGTGTGTATATATATATATCATACTGTCATTTCATTTTTGTTGTTTTTGGGTCACAACCAGTGGGACTCAGGGCTTACTCCTGGCTCTGAGCTCAGGGAGCACTTCTTGTGGGCTTGGAGGTCAATAACGAGAAACTGGGATCAAAATCAAGTGCTGCGTACAAGACAAACACCCTGCCCACTGTACTAGCACTTTGGCCTGTTGTACTATCATTCCGGCCTGTAATTTCTTCTTTGACATATTAAAGAGCTATCTCCAGGTCTGAGAGATAGCTTTACTGAAATTTCTAGAATTAACACATGCCTCCATCAGAAAAGTGGCCTCAAATGGTAGTTCCACATCTCTGGCTTCATGTTTTTTTTTTTTTTTTTGTATACCTTGTAGTTTACTTAATTATCCAATCACTTTAAGCAAAAGTTTTTTCTCATATCATACCTGAGGTCTTTTATACTTTCTCTAGCTTTCCTAAATGTTCTCATGGAGCATAGCAAATCAGAGTACTGTCACTTCTGAAAAGCTACAAATTGATATCTTTTGTATTCTAAAAAAGTGTTTGTCGGGTATTCTCTTAATCAAAAGATACTATTTTTCATTTCTGTCTTTAAGAGAAGTACTTTTCTGTTAAGTATCTCTACTGAAACACTAATTCTCTTCTTTGTTACTGTTATGTACTTCTTAGCTTTTATCACTTACTTTGCTACTAATTATGCTCACTTTACCTTCTGCTCTATATTAAAATGGTTACTTAGTTCATTACTTGTCCAGCCATTCCATAGTTCTTCCTACTGCCTTACATCAAAAATTTTGGAGCATTTTATTTCATCATTACTTACCTCAACTATGTCAAATTTCAATGACCATCTCTTCTTTGGCCTCTGATTTATAAATGTTTATCTTGAAGATGTGATTTTTTTCTTGTTACATTTTTGTTATTCACTTCTCGAGATGACAATGCACACTGTACTCCCTGGTAGTATTTTGAAATTTGTGGCCTTATGAGTGAGCACTGCACTGTAGCACTGTCCTCCCGTTGTTCATCGATTTGCTCGAGTGGGCACCAGTAACATCTCCACTGTGAGACTTTGCTGTTACTGTGTTTGGCATATTGAATACATCACGGGTAGCTTGCCAGGCTTTGCTGTGCTGGCG